CCCCTCCCCTGTCCCCCACCTTCAGTGAAGCACTCCTCGGGCTCGTTGCTCTCCTCGGCCACCTCGGCCACCTCCTCCTCCTCGGGCGCGGGGGGTTTGTAATCCACGGTGCTGCACACGGAGGAGGCGTTGTCACTGGACAGGGGGTTCTGCAGGGGGACGGCGATTCAGGCTGGGCTCCCCCAAYCCCACAGAGGGGTGGCGGGATTTTMATTATGGCATATTATATTTWAAAATATTTATATATTATATTTATATTATACTATATTATTATATTTATATATTGTATTATTATATTACGTCATATTATATTTAAATATATTTATATATTATATCTATACTATACTATATTATTATATTTATATATTAGTATATTATATATTAGTATATATATTATGATATATAATATACATTATTATATATAATATACATTATTATATTATATATTATAAATTAAATTATATATTCTATTTGTGTGTTATATTTATATATTTATATTTAAATATGTATTTATATTTGCTCCTCTTTATCCCCCCATTTATATTTAAATACAAAAAATACATTATATTTATCAATATATTCATTATAATATATTACATATGTATAAAAATAAATAGATTATATATTAATATATATTTGTTAAAATATATTTATTTATAAAATATATTTAGTTATATAAAATATATTTAAATATTTAAATATATAAATATATTTAAAAATATTTAAAATATAATTATCCGCCCACTTTTAATTATGACATAGACACAAAAGGGCTTTATTTCGGTATTTGATGGGGATTTAAGTGCACAGTTTGACAGAAAACACGTTTTGTGTATAGCATGTATATATTTTTTATAGATTTTATAATTTAGTATATTTATTTATAATTTTTAATGAGATTTATAATGAGATTTATGATTTTTAATATTTATAATTAGATTAATAATGCTATTTATAATGAGATTCATAATGCTATTTATAATTTTTTATGAAGCTACTTTTTATTTAAAAAAAAATTATTCATGAGGTTAGAGTTTAGGTTACACATTACGTTTTAGAGAGCAGATTTTAATTAAAGTTGGAGTTTTGGGTTTAAGACAGTATGGGGCAGGCTGATTTT